CGTCATTAAAAACGTCAACAAGAGGGACGGAACAATTAAGCGGGATGGAGAACAGACGCGATTTCGGTACACGTCNCAGAGGGAAGTGGCATGGTAAGACCAGGTATATACGATGCTAAGACAAAATTCACAATAGAAGCTAGGAGCGATATCTTGTTAATCACCAGTAGTGGTGTAACGCAGTTAAAATGGTCAAGGATAAATGCTATACAACCTGACGATAAACGAACACTTAAGAGTGACAAGGATTTACTAGATTTAACAGAGAAAAGGCAAACCACGTTAAAAATTCAAACCGCGCGCGATCCAGAGAAATACATTTGGAATACATTTACTACTTATTTAGACTGTTTTCAAAGCTTTCAGGCAATCCATTGACAGGTAGATTCATAAAACTAATTCACGTGCCTCCAGGACTGCGCTTCAAGTACCCATTTCCCTCTTCCATCTCTCGCAGCAACGGGGGATCCCTGGAGCCCACCGCTGCAAGAAACTGAACTAACTGGCACACCGCTGTCAACGTCCTGGAACCGAACCGAACTGAACTGAGACGAGCATTTTTCTTTCCTTTTCAGCAAGGACTTCCTCCTGTAGATGTACCGTGTAATTATGTACAGCAAGGACACGAAGAAAAACTCTCCTTACTCAAAGTGCAAGAAAATCGTCGGGTCTCGTGCGAAGGACCTATTATTTGATGTGTCAATGTTGGCGTCATGTTACATGTACTAGCGTACCGCCAGACATGTAAACAGCCCTCCAGTCGTGCGGCTCACCAAATTTAAAGTTTGTATGTGACGATTGTCTCCCTACATTTCGCAAACCGAGTGTAGGCAGAGGAGTGCTGCCCTTGCCGACCGCAAGTGGGCTGGAGGAGTGTGCGCAGCAGTCCGCATCAGCCGAGGCGCCGCCAACTGATACCGCCGATGAGCAGAGACGACCGAGACGCAGGCGTGCAACCAACAACGTGCGACCAACCTCTAGTGAGAGCCGCGCAGCGACAGCGATCGAGCCTGGATCCCCTGCGCCGATTCAGATACTGCTGGAGCTACCAGTTTCGTTGTCCAACGCCAACACTGGATCGTACGCCTGAGTCGCTGCTGCCACGCATACCGCCAATAGTGCTGTGACCAGCGTCACGGAACTCCCTTTGATCCAGCCGGCATCCAGAGGGCTCTCAACCCCAGTTCAGTCCGCCGACCGACCGTTGCAGGGGACCTGGGACGGGAACGCCCCTCAAGACAGCAGTGCTTCCTAGCTGTCAATATGCTTGAGTCCAAGGAACCCTTGGCGCAAGCTCCGCTTTACGCGGACCTATCCTTGCTTCGTGGAGTCCTGGCCAGACTCTTCGGCTCTGGCGAGGAAACAGAGGCCCAGGCGATACAAGTAAAGGCCGCTTTTAGGCTAGGAGCCAAACGGGATGGCGGCGCCTCTCGTCCACCGAAAGTCGTCCTCGGATCGATGGAGGAAACCAAATCTGTATTCCAGCGGGCCTTCCACCTGAAAGGGGAACCCGTCAGGCTACTACGCGACCTCGACGCGGACGAACGGCAGAAGCTGAAGCAGGCATTAGCCGATATCCATGAGCGTCGAGCAATTGGTGAACAAGATCTCTTCATCTGGGATTTTCGGGTCCAGAGGAGGCGCCCCCATTTCCGGTGGAGCCCTCTTGGGATACCGAACAAAGAGTCTCCTCTGGCGTAAACTGGAGGTACATGCAGTCGGCTGCCATCGACAGGCGCAGCCGCGTGTGCATAATGTCTGCCAGTGTACGTAGTGTTTTGAACAAACGAGACGATTTGGAGGCGTTTGTCATGGAGCACTTCCCTGTAGTCATCGCCCTCGCCGAAACCTGGCTCACCCCCGACGTTCTTGACTCTGAGGTCTCGCTTCTGGGGTATGCGTCATTCCGTTCGGACCGTGCACAACCAAAGATGTGTAGAGGCGTCATGCTGTTTATCCACGAAAGTGTACCGGTTACTCACCTCTAAAGCTACGCGGATCCTGACTGTCAGGGAGAAGCACTGTGGTGCAAAACCAAACTGTGCTGCAACGGCTACACGACGATAGGAGTCTACCACAGACCACGAGCGACAGCCCCGTTGGCCATCCTGGACGATATGCGGCGATGGGCTGGCGACGACCACTGTTTGATGTTGGGTAAGTTCACTAAACCCAAATCGATCGGGACGAAAATCACTGCCTACCGGGAGCGAACCAATCCTCCAGAGACCTCCTCGAAGTAGCGAACCAGTTGACCCTGCATCAGCACTCCCGCGAGCCCACNCGATTCTGCCCAGTCACTCCTAGATCTGGTGTTATCCCCTCGAACATCGGACGTGAACGCCATTGACCACCTCCCGCCACTCGTTTCGAGCGATCAATCGACCCTGTTGGTGCATTGACGACGTGGAGCTCCGTATCGCTCTCGATTGCATTCCGGACCCAATGTCTGGAAAGCGGACTACAATGGCATGAGGATCGCAGCGCAGTCCCTCCCCTGGGTGATCACCTGCCCTCAGGGAGTAGACCTTGCCTGAACTACCTTCTGGGACGGCATCCTTAAATTGATGGCAGCCTTCTCTCCTCCTTCCGGTCACACTCTATGCCCCCCCCTGGTTAGACCGTGAGTTACGTCAGATACTTAAGCGTCGCAGCAGGACGTGAAAAGCGTTTTGCGCTCACGGATCTAACTATAACCAATACAACGATGGTACGTCAGCCGTCGCCGCACCTGCGGCGACAGCTGACGTACCATCGTTGGAGATTAACGGTGCCCTGGCAGAAATCGATGTTGACAAGGCGGGAGCTTTTGCGTAACACTATGCATCTGTTTACGCCACCGATACATCACCGGTCCCCCGACTTTCGTGCTCTGTGCCTCTGCTGTCTTGGCAAGCCATCTCTGCAGACGAGGTGTGTGACGCATTTTCGGCTCTGAAACCATATCAGTCACCGGGTTCGGATGGACTGCATCCCATCGTGCTGAAGGAGCTGGCACCGGTCATAGCACTTACCTTGACCGTCTTTTTCGAACAATCATTGACCGAGGGTAGGTTGCCCGCCGAGTGGAAAACCGCGATTGTACGCCCTCTCTTCAAAGTAGGAGCCCGTGTGGCCCCCGTCAATTACCGCCCGGTCAGTCTCACCTGTGTGACCGTCAAGGTGATGGAACGTGTACTCGCCAAGCGACTCCAGGAGCACCTCCTACCGAATGATCTTCTGTGTCCAGAGCAGCATGGGTTCCGTCCGCAGCGATCTTGCGTCTCGAATCTGCTACTTGCTCGGGAGTGATGGGCGTCTGCCAAGGCCGCCGGCCACGAAACGGACGTCATCTTCATTGACTTCAGCAAGGCATTCAATGAGGTGCCACATGGACGGTTGTTGCAGAAACTGATGGCTCACGGTATCACAGACCCTCTACTAGCATGGATTGAGGATATCCTCGTCCGAAGGACGTTTGCTGTCAGAGTTGCTCAGACGGAGCCGTGTCGCTATCCTGTCACCAGTGGAGTGCCACAGGATTCTGTTCTAGGACCAGTACTGTTCCTCCTGTTCGTGAATGACCTGCTCTCCCAGTTGAACTCATCTTGCCTCCTCTACGCGAATGACGTGAAACTATGAAAAGCAATGAGAACATCAGAGGGTCACCATGCACTCCATGAGGATTTGGACGAGTTGCACCACTGGGCTGACGTCTGGGAACTTCCAGTGAACTCATCAAAATGTGCTCATATGCGCCTGGGACGGAATACACCGGATATTCCTTATCTGATGAACAACGTCCCTTTGCGTTCGACGACTACCGAGAAGGATCTGGAGTTATTATCTCCGCATCCATGAAGACACAGATGAACATCTTCTATGAGCATCTTCTATGACAAGGAGTATGCTAGGTGCTATCCGTCGGTCGTTTAACGGCTTGTCGTTCACAGCCTTCAAGAAGCTATTTGCCTCCCATGTTTGCCCCCGGCTTGAATACGGTGGACCCGCTGTACACCCCTGCACGCTTTCCGAAATGGCCAACGTGGAACGGGTACAGCGCTACGCCACCCGCCTAGTCGCGAGACTTCACGGGATCAGCTATGAAGGTCGGCTCTAGGCACTCGAACTCTACCCAGTTAGCTACAGGAGACTCCGCGGGGATTTGATCTACCTGTGTAAGATTCTACGTGGCGATCTGGGACCGGAGTTACGTGCTATGTTTTCACTGCGAGATTACAACCGGATGCGCGGCCACAGGCTCACCCTCCGGAAGCTTGAGTAAATGGGGCTTCCTCTGGTCTATTGCCTTTCCCGGAGGGCGACTTCCCTCTGGAATTCGCTCACGTCGGAGGTGGTGGAGGAACAGAACGAGCCGCGTTTCAAACGCCGTCTCGACGAGCATTTAATGAGACGATGGTAACTTGCAGACCGCTAAGCGGATTGCTATCGATACCGGCGGTGAAGAGGCTCATACGGGCGCGGCCCCTCTGCCTTCTCAACACAAAGATAAAGTTGAAGGACGCCGTACTGAAGGCAATTCGCAGTGGTGGACGCACACCTTGTGTGCATACTGCCGGAAGAAATCTGGATGCACGATTGGTCGTGGCCATTATCAGTCCCGTGCAAACTGACCAGACCTGACCTGCACGGGCTAGAAAGACAAGGGATACCTCCAACGACTGTGGGACCTGAACCTGTTCTCCCTGGCCCGCAGACGCATGCGGGGCAACCTTATAGAGACATTTAACACTGTCAAAGGGCTTTCGGGTCTAAAGTTCCAAGACGTATTCTCGTTTGTTCCTACCAGGGGCACGAAGGGGCATCAAATTACATTGGAAAGAAGTCATTGTAGACTAGATTTGCGAGCTGGGTTCTTTACAAACAGAGTTATACCACTGTGGATTAAATTACCTGAAGCAGTGGTTAACTGTATTAATGTCGAATCTTTCAAGAGAAGGCTAGATGAATGCTGGGCAGTGGTATTTCCCGAAGTTGAGTGTCCAAAGTTAATCGTTAGGCTTTGCTTTCCGAAACACTGTAAGAGATCTGATACTGCACACTAACATTCTGCCTTTCAGAAACTACCATTGAGTCAAAGTGTTGGAAGCCAACAAAACCGCCGACAACACAAGGAACTGGACGGGCGATTGGAAATAGCCACAATTCGTCCTGTGAGAACTGAACGGTACGATAGCGAGCGGTTTGAATTTCCACTGTGCTCTATCTCGTTCGCACTTTTTGTCCGGTACTAGTAAAATATCAGTCGACGTTTCACTCAGATAACTCTTGAAGTAGTGTTACGTTTGCCAGTGTCGTTCGTGATCTGTCAGAGATAACAAACCTTATACTAGGCAATTCTTCTGCGTGCACTTTGGTGGTTCGCAGGCCTTAGCATTTAAGTTTTTAAGTTTTTTGAGTTTGGTAAAGCGTATTTTTTACGTTTGTGGTATCACCTGTGTCTACGTTTCCAGAGTTAGAGAACTGTATATTTAGGCATTTCTTGATTAACTTGGAATGGCACAATTGAAAGGTTCCAACGCGTGTGGAGCCAATTGTTGTGCAGGGTATGTCACCGATGGGATTCAGTGCGACGGCTGGGGAGTGTGGTACCACCAGCAATGCTCTCAAGTGAGTAAAAAGGAGTATCAGCTCCACATGGAGCACAAGTCCTTTAAGTGGATGTGCAAACACTGTGCAACACTAGCCGAGGAGTTCAGGAGAATCCTGAAGGCATAACTGGCTCCCCTAAATAAGGATAACAAAGAGAAGCCTGAAGGGATTACTTTTGTGTCATCCCCAAATAAAAGTGCAGAAATAAGAAGAGCAGTAAACCGAAGCAAGGAAGTTGGAAAACAGACTATGAGACCTTTACAGGCTAAGACGTCTGTGGCGAAACTCGAGGGACAGCCAAACTGCCGGGAAATGGTACAACGGATCGAGCAGTTAGAGAGAGAACTTAATCTGCTGAAAAAGAGCACCGAAGTGTCGCTGGGAAGAACTAAGAACTCGCTCCTCATAATTGCGGGGAGCCAGTTATTAACATGGTGAAGCCGAGGTGAGAAGCCAAGCATCGCCATGTACAAAACATTTTTAGGCTGGCAGGGTTGCCCCCAACACCCCATACATCAAGTGCCACAGAATTGGCCCGTGGAGAGGGGAAAGCTCACGTTATCCGAGGCCTCTCTTAGTGGTGTTTCCAAACACAATCATAAGAGATCTGCTACTATCACGAG